CTTTGTCTCCACCTCCAAAATAGGACTGTGAGCTGGGGGTGGCCATCTTCATCCAAGGAAGCCTCCTTCAGGTAAGTTATCTGATAAAGGTCAAGATCCTAGATCTGAATTGTGTAATGCAAACTCACATGCACACAGTTTCACAGTGTTTATACTACACCACTTTTCTTATAAATGTTGGCACTGTGCAACCAATTACATAACCACCAGTATACTTGCTTACTGTACAGTTTTACATAATGACTGTGTCCATAATCCCTGTGAATGAAATGGTACATTGAAGGTACTGATAAGTAGTTAGACACTATCCAAGGATGTGAAATTCGAATGGGCAATGGTTACACTTGCACAACTCCACTTAATACAATTAATCAACAGAATGTGTCCATTGTGCAATGCCCCTAAAGTACAATTGCATGTGTACAAAAAGAAAGAATCATAATTGGTGCTCAGATCTGAGGATGTGGGGGGAGAAATGGATGGAGAGAATATGTAGGTTTTCTTTCTGAGCTGCTATTGATTTCTGCCAGAAAACTCATTTCATACTGTGGTCCAAAAATTAAATGATCTATTTAATTCCAATATAGTCCAGGATTCTAATTGGATTTTTGAGCTTGTAATTTATGTAATATTAATGGATACTTTCAGAAAGCCACTAATTAACAGCTGACCTTTATTTTTCCCAGATATTTTTTTAAAGAATGAACCCATGTGGTATAATAAAATAAAAAAAGGAAAAGAGCAACCTTTATCTCTTCACCCCTCTCATTGCCTCTTCTCCTTTCACTAAGAATGGTGTGATTTTAATTAGCAGAAACAGGAACACATCAGGGTTGTTTTGGAGACTGCCAACGCTACATTATCTATCTGATCACCTTCTTTCTATAAAAAAGACTAAATAATTTAAAATGCAATTCAAGAAAAAAATGTATTTTCAATGAGGAAGGCAAGGCTGTAGGTGATGGATTAAATGCTTCATATAACCCTTGGTTTTTATAAGCTATCACCAAATGAATCCAAAGTAAAAGACTGCATTTTGTTTCTTTTTTTAATGTGGCAAGATTTCTTCATTTTGTGCTTTTTTTCTTAACAACCTGAGAAATAAATATATACAACATCATTTAAATGCTTTATGAAAAGCCAAAAGTAGATGCAGGACTATCACTGAAGCTCTTCACAAGGGGAAAACAATCAGCAACTTGAAAACGGTATTACTTCTCTCTCTGATTTCAATGTCACCCTCAGGGCTCAGGGAATACTGTTCAAAGCCAAAGTCTGGGGAAGAGCAAGTGGACTGTGGGATGGAGGAGTTATGTGTTTGTGTAGGCTTGTTGCCAAATGTCAGGATCTGCCCCTGAGATATTGGATCATCTTCTTCAGTCCTCAGGAAGGAATCACAGAGTGACAACATCACCTTGAAAATTATCTATCTATCTATCTATCTATCTATCTATCTATCTATCTATCTATGCTTTTTTGCCTGTTGAGCATATGTTCATAGAATCATAGAGTTGGAACAGGCCTCAACAGTCATCCATTTCAGCCCCCAATCAGGTAGATGTCCATCCAAAAAAGACATCTAAAGAAATAGACTTCACCAATTCAGAAGGAAAACAGACTGGCAAGAATGGGCGGCTTGAAGCTGCCCCTTCTGAAGACAATTTGGGGCCACAGCATGTGCCTGCTGTGGCCCCAATCTGTCTTTAACTGGGCCAAAAAAGGAGCAGATTAAGATCCACTCCTTTTTTGGCTAGAGAAAAGCTGGCTTTGCCAGCCCTGCTGCAGCCCCATGGTGGCTTCATGATGTTCTGGTGGCATGTGGCATGTAAACGCTGTGTCACTGGAGCATCATGAAGCCATCCACATCTGGGCAGCCATGCAGCTTCAATCCATCTTTTTGGCTCTGCCATCTCTCTCCCTTTGCAGACGGCGCTTTGCGCCATCTTAGAGGCAAGGAAGGGGAGGGGCAGCCTCACACTGGGCACCCCAACCCCTTCCTGAGGACGTAATCAGAGTGCCAATCGCTCCACATGACAGGCGCTCCAATTACGTTCTTCCGGCTCAGTGTCCATACACCTTAAGACAGAAGAGATGTCAAAGAGGTGTGCCATGCCTCTTGTGGTGCTCCTTTCATGGCTTGCGAAAGGAGTGCTATTTTAGCACTCCTTTAGCAGGTGACAAAAGGGAGGATCGGGGATGAGGTGCCTGGCAGCCTTGGCCACAATCTTCTGCTTCCCAGGGTGGCCTAGGGCCGCCCGTCTGCTTCCTCAGTCTGTCTGTGAATTTAGTCAAATCCCCAACCAGTATGTCACATAATTTCCTGTCATATTGAAGCTTCATGACACTGCTTCCTGCTGAGGTGTCATCATCTTCCTGTGGCTCAGCAACTCTCATCATGACACCTTTTAAACTCAGGTTACCTTTCACCTTTGTTCTCCATTGCAACATCTCAGACATTTTCTGTTCTGGGTGCAAATTCATCTTGACATTCCCCTCCTAAATGTCTCAGATGCCCCACAAGGTACATACAACATTTCTATATTCACAGTGTAGGGGTTTCATTGTATGTTATCATGTGTTCTAATACCCAACCTGCTTGTCAGTCTCTCATGCCTTTCCATAGGTCTCTCATGCCTTCAGAAGATAATAGTGCAGACATACTCATAAAGGTACTCTTTTGTGAGTATGTCTGCACTGTTATCTTCTAAAGTACAGTATTGCAGTGTCAGGATCCATCCTGTATCAACTCGCACACATTTTGAAATCTTACCCCAATGTATTTTTTTTATGCTTTTCATGTTTTCAGCTTCTGCCATTGCAATGCAGACCTGTGAGTCTTCATGGATCACAATTGGTGTGTGACATGTCTCACTTAGATCTTCCAACAACTGTCTGATCAACTGAACTTCACTAGCAATCTCTGAAAGTGCAGCAAATTTGGTGTCTTAGGGGCTAAGCAGATGGCGCAAAGAGCCGTCTTAAGAGCAAGGAAGGGGAGAGGCAGCCACACGCTGGGCATCCCAACCCCTTCCCCAAAACGTCCTCAAAGCAGCCAGCTCTCCGCATGGCTGGTGCTCTGAGGATGACCTCCCACTGCAGCGTCCATACACGCTGCAGTGGAAGAGTCGCTGAAGGTATGCCGGCAGCCTTTTGCGGTGCACCTTCGGTGATTTGTGAAATCTACGGGCGATGAAGCTGTGCCACGGGGCCAAGGTGTACAGATACCTCAGCCCCGTGGTGCAGATTCCTGGGGCGGCCCTGTGCTGCCCATCTGCTTCCCCCCCTACTTAAAGCAACTTGACCTCCACACAACAGGACTGTCAGTAAAATTGATGATTAAACCAAAAACTGTCTTTATGTCTGCTGCCTCTGGTGCAAAAGAGCTGTGTGCATAACACTCTATCTGAGACATGCCTCCAGTCATCACCTGACATATGTCCTTTGTTCCTTTGAGATACTGTACTATACACTTCAAAACGGTCCAATAAATTGGCTTGGGTTTGAGGCCCTCCTGCTCAACAACCCTACTGCATAACTGATGTCATGTCTAATGATGTCATGTTATTGGCAAGAAATAATGGGCTTCTAGTCACTGAATGGTACAATTCAGGATGCTCATTCTCTTTGTCAGACTCTATACTGGCAAACTCAGGTGTCATGGGACTTCTGACTACTGTGGCATTGCTTAAATCACATTTCTCTATAATTCTCTCAATTTTCTTTTTCTGGCACAGCAAAAAACTTCCCATCCTGGGTTCTATCCACTTCAGTCCCTAAATAGTCTTTCAAATCACCCAAATCCTTCAGCTTGAACTTCCTTGCTAAC